TTTGTCAGAAGTGGGATTCGAACCCACGCCCTCAGAGAGGACCAGAACGCTCATCACAACCTTTCTATGAAAGGCAAGACTTTTCAATCTTGAGTCTGGCGCCTTAGACCGCTCGGCCATCCTGACATGTTGAATGGGGTTGGCCAAATCGTTGTAATTAACAAACGAAAAAAAGTAAAAGAATTAAGCATTAACTTTAAGTTATTTTAAGAACGGCAACATACCTGCTATCTCTCTCACTCGCACACACACGCAAAGTAATAGCAACACCAACAAACACGAGTTTTCGCGCCCTAACCTCGCCATCAGCGTTGCATGTCTGGTACTTATTTATAGACATGCCACGCTCTCTATCTATCTCTCTCTTTTTCTCGTTCTCGCACACAGCACTCTATCGTTGTTCTTTAAAAGCTCAAGCGTGTGTGCTTTCGCTTCTGAACGAAACTTTAATCTGTAGCCTACTTATATGCGCACTGCATTTCCAAGAACTTTAAATTCAGGGCATACTTTAAGGCTGTTCAGGTGAAACTGCTGTTATTAGAGCTGCATCAAGTAAATTCCAATTTCAATTACTTTTACGAATAGGTGCTACAACAGCATGACATTCCTATGTGACTTTATAGTTGATCAATCTTGTATATATAGTTGAAGGAATTTTGTATGTATCAAATGCCTCTTGAATTCTATTTCGCTTTTATGCACAGCATAAAGCTTTTCAATGCGAAGAGCAGAGCAGCACAAGGGGCATCTTCACAGGATACCTTAATCTATTATATGTTGCTCGATTTGCTCCACTGTTGCCGGGCTGCCGCTTGGCAATCACATTGATAAGTGCGCTTATAAATCACAAAAGTCCGTCGACAAGCAAGAAGGAGCCAGCTGGGGATGCCCACGTCTTGGGTCGACTGTGCTGCGGCGGCGCATGCTTTTAAATCGATGAGCATAGCGAAATTGACAATGATTTTTTTAAAATAATTTTATTACTTCATTCAGTGGGGCATTCATGCAGACGGATCCATGCAGCGGCAACGGCAATAGAAGTCCATCAGGACTATCAGACGATGCTCCCTATGATTGGATGCAGTCATGCGTGAATGTAAACGTTGCCTCGAACCACTCAAGAAACACTAATACGAATTTCATCAGATTTCAGATTTTTGCTTTGGTTTTTAATTAAATGACCAGAATGAAATCAAATTTCTATTTCTTTATTTTTTCGTGCAACTTTCGATATGTCAATACGATTTTAAAACTGCTCTACTCCAGGGCTCAGGGCCAACGGGCATCGTACTGTTTGATGACGTAGCTAAGCTTCTTAATGGCTAGTTCCACCTGTTCGTCGTCCACCTGATGATACAGCACTAAGCGCATAAACTCCCAATTGCGAGCGCTGGCCTTGAGCACAATGCCTGCTCCATTACTGCCCGTTACGCCAGCCAGCAGCTCCTCGGGCTCGATGACAGCCAGCCGCTCCGCAAACTGGCCGGCAGTCAGCTTTGGCTGCTTAATCTGTATCAGCAAAATGTTACTCTGCACAGTCGCCAGGTCCACAACTACATTGGGGCTGTGCAGCTGGTCAATGCCTTTGGGGGGAAATGTGAGAATGAAATGAATTAGCGAGCGGACGTAGACTTACTATTCGCTATGCGTTTGGTTCGCTCATGGTCTGCTGCTAGCAACGGCACCACCTCATCCAAGGCGACCAATCCTGCAGCCGCCAGAATACCCGCCTGTCGCATGCCACCGCCCAAGGCTTTGCGGAGTCGGTGAGCTCTGCGGTAGACGGTGAAGCAGTAGGAAATTAGGTAAATAATAATTAGTAAAGCCATGCAATACCTACTCGGCTATGAATTTCTTGGAGCCCACCAATACGGAACCCACTGGAGCGGACAAGCTCTTGCTCAGGCACACCGAGACCGAGTCGAAGCCCCGAGCGATGCGCTCAACGCTGACACCCAAAGCAGCGGCCGCATTGAACACTCGAGCGCCGTCCATGTGCAGGCCGATGCGTACGACGCCTAAGCCCGAATCGCGCACCAGTGACACTAGCTCGTCCAGATAAGACAGCGGCAGCACCTTGCCGCCACACATGTTGTGGGTGTTCTCGACAACGACCAGGGAGGTGACTGGCTCGTGACAGTCCTCATACTGGCGTATCTTGTGTCGCAGTTCTTCCAGGCTGAAGGTGCCATCCGGCAGATTTCTCAACTGGGCTAATTGCACGCCAGCTAAGTGCGCCGAGCCACCTAAGTGGGTTAAAGATGCGGCCGTAGTAGTAGTAGCTTATATTTATTACGCCGGACTATCTTACCTTGCTCATAGAGAAATATGTGGGATAAATCGCCCACAATGGCCTCCGAGCCACGTCGACTGCAATGAACCATAACTGCAAGCAAATATGAATTTCATTTCAGTTAGTTCATAGGAAAGCAGCTTGGGGTAGTCTGGGCTCCCAGCGAATTCGACTTTAATAAAATGGCGATCCCATTAGAAATATTAGTTTGGGTGGGATGGGCACTAAGCAGCCAAGAAGTTTACCTCACTGCAGCCGCCCACGTCCGTGCCCACGCCCCACACTAAAGTCCATAAAAATAAATGTTATGATTATGGGCGTGCCCTTAACCTTAACGATTATGAGCCTGATGCATGATATGGCCGTCTTGTTTGTGTTTGTTCTTGTTTCTGTTTTCGTTTCCGCTAAAAGTTTCAATTTCACTTTCCGCAAAGTAAGTCGGTTCCTTTAAGCTAATAAACATCAGCGGAACAGAGCGAATTGTTCGTATATATACATATATATTGGGGGGGGGGGGCTCGCTTTAAACTAATATGCATTTACGTGTCCGAGGGGCTGGGGCTCCTTTGTGAGGCCGTCGGTCCCTAAATTGCCGGGCTGTGTTATTTATGTGCACGTCGTGCCACTTACCGGCCAAAAGATTTCCCATGGTGCCGCTGGGCACAAATAGGCCAGCCTCCTTGCCGAATATTGCAGCTGTCTTTGCCTCCAGCTCGGCGAGAGTGGGATCCTCGCCGTAGACATCGTCGCCCACCACAGCGCTGGCCATGCGCGCACGCATCTCCGGTGTCGGCTGGCTGACGGTGTCCGAGCGCAGGTCAACGATGTTGTTGCTGTTGTTGCTAGCCATTTTACGGTGCTCTACGGATGGCGAAAATTGGATTTGGATGTGGATGTGAGCGCTTGTTGGATTGAAAATTGACTTGCTTAAATTTGCATATTTACTGTTGCTGTTGCTGTTGCTTTTGCTGTTGCTGTCAACTTGCCTACTTTGGGCCAGACAGGCCCGAATACGGCAACAAGAAAAACGTCAATTAAAATACAATTATTTGCATTATCATATTGAAATTGATAAACTCTGCATTAATATTCCAAAACTGACCTGAATGTCAGTCGAGTTAGCTGAGGCAAACACATATAATAAACACAATTGTTCTTGATATTGATAATGAATGCCTGGAGCAACTGCACAACTGAATTCAATGCCCTTTAATCTATATTTTATACATGTATATATATATACATATATATGTATGTATATACACTCGAGTGTTGGAGCATCACACGTGTTTTTTGTTTGCTTTTATAAATAACCCCGCAAAAAGCTCCACTCAAAGCAACAAACACATTAACATTTACTTAAACCTAATTCAATTATGTCAGATTCGCCGCACATCAGTAAATCAACAACTCACGAGAAGTATAGATTCTAATTGAATTGGGAGCCGGCAAAAGAAAAAAAAAGTGGAGAAGCCCAACCAGCGTTGGCCGAACACACAAAACGAACTGAACCCCCCAGCTGGCGGCAGTCTACATGTGGTCTTCTGTTCGTTTCCAGCGGAGCAAATTTCCCATGAGAGTAGAGACATTAATGCTTAGCTGAGTGAGCTTCGATCGAAGAGAGCCACAGCGAACCTACTTTGAGTGCTGTAGCAGCGAGTCTTTGTCTGGCTTTGAAATATGATTAATCGCACTTATGAATAGTTATTGTAATGTACAGGAGAAGCAAGTCAATGTGCTGTATGAATATTAAAAAATAAAAAATAAATTATAAAATACAAATTATATGTGTTATTCACCTAATATATAATATACATTCAATACTTTATAATATATATTTATTATTTGTATATGCTGCTCTGAGTAATCAAAACTAATTTATAATTTAATATTAATTGATCAGATTGATTGATTTGCTTCACTATAATTCTCGGAAAATTGTGTCGGTCAGATACTAAAGCACCTACTGAAAATAGAAAATAGAGACTTAAAAGTTTTCCATTTTTAATTCACTCACCTGTTTTCATTTAATCAATATCAACATAATATTAAAATATAATAAATTATTATATATCTTGCTTTGGTATATTGTAATATATTACATATTATAAAATTTGCTTTATTTTCTTTTACATATTATTTACAAAAATTCAAAACAAACAGTTTATTTCTTTGGTATTTTTTATTCAATATTTCAGAAATTTTCACTAAAATTTTTACTAAATCTAACATGGTTTGTTTCTAGTTTAGTTTCTTTATCGCTCATCTTAATTGGCCAACAACAAACTGCGTCACGTTTCAACTATATTAGGTACGATTTAAACGGTTAAACATTAAAAACAAATGAAATTAACTATTTGTATATGGTCGAGTCAACGCTCGAAGGACATCTTTTCATGCTGCTGAAACTAATTCGACTAACTAATAAGATAAGTTATATATAAAACACAACATGTCCTCGCTTCGGAGGTACGGGAACATTGTTAGGCATACGGATAAAGCTACGTCTGATATCGTCGATCGTATTATTGTAATTCTTATCTTACCAACTAAACTATAACAAATATTTCTTTTTCTCCTTCTTATTTTCTTTTTAAACCTTTTTTCTTCTCCCTCTCTCTCACTCACTCTCTTTTCCCGTCTTGCAAAAATGTACATACATAAATATACATGTTGTAAAATGTATGAAAATAATTAAAAATAAATATTTAGCAATTAGTTATATGTTATAGTCTTTTCAAGAAGTTTCACTCTAGCGCAATGTATGTATAATTTAGTTTTGCTCTTAGAATCAATTTAAGTTCAAGTACATGCGTTCATGTATACGCGTTGATTTGCTTTTGGCACCTACTGTGGCTGTAATTTGTAGTTAATTTGTGGTTTAGCTGCTCGGGAAGTTTGTGTGCGCGTATGTGTGGTATGAGTTATGCGTGTGTATGTGTGTGTGCAATGTGCTGAAGGTACTTCATTTAAGATTCGACCACATAACCGAAACTCGAGTCAATCAATTGGCCAACTCGATTACATACATACATACATACATGCTAAACAAAATGAACCAAAGAAATGTACAAGAAGTTTCGTACATTCATTTGTTTGGTTTTCTTTTTCTTGCTTTCTCTTTTTTTTTTTTTTTTTGGTATGTGCAGACAGAGCTGCAAGGATATCGTGTGACAAGGTGACCTTTTACAAAGGTGCCCCGCCTCGATTTCTACTCTTACGTCTAGACAGTACACAAGACACGCAAACTTATAGCTAAGTTTAGACTCTAACTCAGTTTGGGAGGCTTAGCGCTATGACGATACGTCCGCATCGGAGCCGTCAAGCTCGCCGGGCGGATTTCGCTTGATGCAGTCCCGTATACTTTGCAGAATGACGCCGACCCGGCGATCGAGCGCGTCCAGATGGGGCTGCCAGAGCACCGGACTGATGGGATCGACGCTCAGCGACTCGCTCAAAATCTGCGACAGCGGCTTGGGCCCATTGTGGAATCTGCAGATGAAACCAAATAACCAAATGTTCCCAGTTCACTCTGTCAATGTGTCTACTCACTCTAGCAGCTTGGTGAGCGTCGTCTTGCGTATCAGGCAGCACTGCAGGACGGGCGCCAGAATGGAGAGCTCATCGTGATAGGGACGCCCGAAGCCCCGTCCGTGGTCCAAATGCAGGGGGAACGTCTCGTTGCCATAGATTCTGCAAAGAAATGCAAGGCAAGTATTGTTGTCAAATTGCACATACGCCCCGTGTTTAGCATTGCATATGCATAATTGCCAGCAAATGTGATTAGAGACAAACACCAGAGATCGGCTTAGCTCCAACGCAACGCAGTCGGGTGTAACCGGCCAACGACAATGGAAATGGCAACAGCAACGGCAACGGCTACGGCTAAAGCTGCTCTGCATAGCAAACACTGTTGCAGGGCAGGGCACCTGGTGTGTCATTGGCATGCATGATGATGCAGTCTGTTGGCTTTGCCACGTCTGCCGTCTGCTGTCCGCCCTCTGCCGACTGCCGCTTGCTGTCTTGAGCAGGCAGTCAGATTTAGCTGCTTTTTGCAGCATGCATGCAAATATCTTTCCGAGGCATTGGCTCCTGCCGTTGAGCATGCTGTGCGGCAGCCTTGCCAAATATAGAGACAGCAGCAGCCCCAGATGAAGTGAAGCGTATGGGATACGTATACGTAATGCGCTACCCACACGGCGGTAGGCATGAAGCCAACAACGCCAGTTATGCGGAAATAAGCCAATCGCATTATGTCTCTGGCCAAAATCGCTCACACTCCACAGTCCACACTTTATACTCACTTGAAAGTCTCGTAATGATGCCGATCCATGTTCCCAGTGAGAAAGTCAAATACAGCCATGTCCATAAGATCAAGCAGACGTCGTCCCTCATCGTAGGGCGGTATGTCGCGTACCTTTGACAAAAATCAAAATATCTGTTAGAAACAGAACTAAGCAACGGCATATTAGGGCTGGTTGGAGGAGTCTTAATTAAGTCGGGGACGATTGCGAGCAGAGCTGAGCACAGCTCGAGCGAGAGTAACAAATAAAAACATTTGCATTCCACTCCAGCTAAAATGCAAATTAAGTAAAAATAACCGCAGCAGGAAAAGCTACAGACAAAGCATAGCCGGGCACAACCGGAAGTGGAAATGAAAATGGCACACAAAATTGGGGTAAGGCAAGAGGCGACCGCCTGCCCCACTCCCCTCCGTTCGTTTTCCCATCCAGTAAGTAGCCAACTGGGCGACTCGTTTACTTACCAGAGCACAATAATTGGCATCTGTCTCCCACTGAGCCTTCTTTCGTTTGTGATAGGAACGTCGCCAAGGATGCCGCCAGAGCTGTGGAAGAGGAAATGCCAGCACAGAATACAAAATCAATATCAATTTGAGCTGCACAATGTAAAAATCTAAAGCTGCTGAACAGCATTAATATGCCACGAGTGTGCGGCGGGTGGGCGGGCGGTTGGTTGGTCTTTGGGCTGCTTGCTCTGATGGCTAAAACATTTATTTCTCATCTTGCAATACGACAATATTATTTCTGTCCCGTTTTGTACTTAGATATTCTTCCTCTATTTTTATTTTATTTTTTTTATTTTGTCTTGCTATTTTTATTTTATTTTGTATTTGTTCATTCCACTTCCCCTTAGCTGGAATGCTGCTGCACTATAAGCGAAATTAAATTATTTGCCAGGCTACCAAGAAAAGTAATAAAACTTTTGCTTGGATTCGGGGTAGCATTTGAGCCCCGGCCGGACCTCAACGACCGCAACTTACCTTCCGTCCCTATGCAATTGGCAATGGTAAAGGCAAGAGCGCATTTTAGGGTTCGTGGGACGCAACAACAACAATGCAGTAACCAAAAATATACAGAGAAATTAGACAAAAAATAAAAAGAACACGTTGAGATAAAAATCATAATAATAAAATTGCATAGGCATGGGCGCGGCAAAGCCTGTGTAATGACCGGAAGCCCGCACGGGCCACAAAATGCAGCAGGAGGCGTAAAAGCAAATAGAAGCCAGCAAGCAAATACAAAAGGAGGCAGGAAAAAAATAAAAAAATAGATGCACAGTGCGACCGCAACGGCGGCCGCAAAATGCAAAATGCAAACACAAAGCCAACACGTAAAAGTTAGGTAAGTTAACGTTCACATCGCGACGATGGGCCAAGGATTGTTTGCATATAAAGCAGATTCCTCCACCTGCTCATAAAGTGCATAAATCAAGCGAAATTAAATTTCCACAAAAAAAAAAAGAGAGAGACAAAGACATGCAGAAAGAAAGTTAAAAAAAAAACCAGCTAAAATATGGCAAGACGAGGTATGAGGTAAGCAAATTTTTAGAATTTTGTTTAATACGCGCAGAAATGCGGCTAAAATGCGCATGGATGAAACTTGATGACAGCCAACTTAAAAGTCTTTAGCAATAATATTAAAGCACCACATAAAAAAATATCAAATGGAATGGTAAATGAACCGAGGCGGGTATATCGGCTGGTTATCTTAGAGTTACGCAAGCATAAATCATAATAAATCCATGAAATATATTTATTTAGTATTAATGAAAAGGAATTTTGGGATAACGAACGTGTATGACAATAAGTAAGTATGATTAAGAATGATTTTGGCAAAGGGACATCCACATTGGTAAATAAGGTTGGCAAAGCTTACCAAGGTATTTCTTAACGCCCATTAAATATTTAATATATCGATTTATTCAAGGGAAACAAAATATAAATTGGCAACAATGAGCTTATGTGAAAGGAAAATTTAATTACAAAATTAATGTTATTCCTTTTGATTCCAAAAAGTAATGAAAATTTTGTATACGAATTATGCTGAGTAAAAATTAACAAACAACTATAAATCTGAATATAATGCAAAGCCAACATCTTTCAGCTTTTAAATAGATTGTCAACTACATCGAAAGTACTGCATCCCTAGAACTGCACAACATAAATAATTTTCTCTTTAATAAGTAATTACTTCTATTTAAAAGCAACAAGCAATTAATTGGATTTTTTTAAGTCTGCGGTCAGCAATTAATGCGAATGCAAATCAAATTTGCAGAATAATTAAAATGCTTCACAGTTGCGAAATTGTTTGTTATTTTGCTTTTAGGCAGTGGCTGGCTCAAAGGCACCATCTTAGAATCCTAAAAGTGAATTAAACCCAAAAAACAACAGCAACGACGGCGACGGCGACGGCAACAACAATCTGGATAAACCTCTGCTTTGTTTTCTCAAGTAAAATGATCTCCTGTGCATAATTTACAGTTTTGCCTAGCGCCAAGTCTCTAGCATGCTCTTAACCGTTTTCTACTTGTTAACTGCAAGAAGGCAAGCCAAAAACAAGTCGAAAAAAAAAAAAAATAGAATAATAAAAATAATTCCTTTGAGAGAACGGCAGAAAGAAATATATATATATATATGTATAATATATATAAATATTTTAGCTGCGGCAATCTGTCTGAAAGGGCTGGAAGCCCTTCCAAAATGCTTTTGGGGCAGGCTGAGTTTGGGTTTTGCCTTAATTTGTGCAGCTATTTGCATTTATAACCCGCTGCCGCTGTCCCCATTTGGAATTTATTAACGTCCATTCGGGGCTGCATTTATATTTCATTTTACGCTCTACAACCCGCTGAAGAACTGATACAATATTTCTGTTTTGAGGCAACGGTGAGCCAAATTCAAAGCACCAAATACAAATAGAAATGAAAATGAAAATAGGAATAAAAATAAAATATGAAATTATGCAAATGAAATGCGAGCTTTTTGGGGCCAGCAATAAAGCAATGAAGTGCCATCCGAGTAAGTAACTAGTTAAGTTCTCGCATTTATACTAAGCCAGGCAGATATCTTGCCGGCCCTAAACTAAATGGCCTGCTACCCTTTAGGGCACTTTGTTGCCAGCTTATATAACGGTAACACTGGCAGACAGCTTACCTGTTGCCGAGGCACATATTGTACATACAGGGATTCGTGTATGTATGTATGTGCCTAGTGAATAATGTGATTTTTTATTTAGTTTGGCCAAGCGTACGAAATTAGTAATGAAAGCAGAAGACGCCCAGCTAGCAGCAAGCTGAGCATATAAATTGTAATCTGGCGCTGCTTTGAGAGTTGAGAGTTGCTATGCATTAATCAAAAGCCACTTAGCCGGACCTACGACTACAGCATCCAACCACATGCGTCGCACATAGAGGTTGACCACCATGAGACCCATATGTATGTGTGCGTGTGTGTGTGTTAGTCTTGTTGTTGTTGTTGTAGTGTGTGGAGTGGCGAGAGTTGTTTGCTGCTGACCTACCTTGCGATTGGAGGTCTCGAAGCTGGGCAGAAATGCGGCAAAGGAGCCCTCCAGCATGTCCGGATTGCCACAAATGGCATGCGAAGTGTCGCAGTAGTACGAGCACTTGCCATGGAAGCATAAATTCAGCGATGGCGAAACAAAGAATGTCTTCAATAAATTTTCGTCGGCCAGTTGATAAATTTCGGTCGTTATGTTCAGCGTGCGACCAGCCACAGGCATCGCGCGACGAAAGCCCAGGACCCTGAAAGACAGTAGAAAAAATAAAAATAAAAAAAATAAAAAAAAAAGACGAAAATAAACGATGAGCACTGGGCGAAAAATAGGTGGTAAATAAACATTTTAGCTAGAGTGCGTGTGCCACGCCAACGTTCAAAGTACTCGACGTTCAAATACCCTACACAATACAGAATATACAAATGCACGTGCTTATTAAATGGTTTGGCCTCAACTACAAACGAATTTTTGTATTCTGTCATCTGCAAGCGAATCGCCAATGGCACCCCAAGGAAACGAGACAAATCTATTTTCGAGCATCTGCCAAATGCACTGCATATGGTCGAGGATGAACTGCCCCGAAATTGTTTTGGGCACATGAAAAATGCTCGGTGTCTGTGGAGTGTCGCCTGAGGTTATCAGGGAAATGCCATAATTTTGGCAGCATTTCATTATGCTGTGGCCAGCGGGCTTCTGGTTTCCTGGGAACCCTTGTAACTGAGATTTGATTATGTCTGCTTGTGCGTGTATGGGTGTATGTGTCCGTGTGCGTATGCGTGTGCGTGTGCGCCTGACAGTCACAACAATTATAAAAGCTGTTTTATTTGCGTTTGTTATCTCGAATCTAAAGCGTTGAAATGGAACTCTGATTTCGAGAACGAATCATGCCCTTAACCATGCCAGCAATTTCAATCTGAATTGCGGTTAGACATGCCAGAGCGCCCATTAAGCAGTGAGTGTGTGTTTGTGTACGTACGCTCTAATTTATAGCTAATTAAATTGAATAAAGTGAACTTTTAAATAATACACCAAGGTCCTTACTGCGAAAAACTAGCGGCGAGCACTTAACTCTCGAGCCTCTGTGCGCTCTTCACCATAAATAATAAATATTAATTGTATTTGTACTCGGACAATTTCACAGCGCTGAATTTCTAATCCCACAAATTTACCAAGTCCTTGGATAATACCCTAAACCGAATTTTAAATCTGAACTGCTTTACTTGAATTAGCGATATTAATTTTTCATTTCAGCCCTACTTTAAATTGCTTTCTATGTTATTATTAAGCCCTGAACTCATCGGTGTGGTAAAAGTTATGAATGAGGTATGACAAGCTTCATAAAATATTTATAATTCTGACCATTAGCTGAGGCGATCTAGTTAGGTTTATTTAGAAGTCTGAATGCAACGATTTCGTACACTACAAGAAATGGAGATATTATATCGATAAAAATCGATAATTTATTTCCTCTTTTGGCACAGCGTCAAGTCGTATATAATTGATAAAACCAGCTCCTATCAGAGCTCAGGGTGTCTCCTAGTCGGACCTTTCTCTATTTAACCACTTTTTCCTGATATAAATTTATTTATGAAATTTCACATTTTTTTCTACGGTTTACGAAATTCAGCGTTAATGCTATAAATTCTGTAAATTCATTACATAAAATTGATTTTCTTGCATATCAATTAAGATTCTCCATTTCGTTATTGCATTCTACGGCAAAGTCGCGCCGTTTATTGCAGTTTGCATAAATATTTGCGTTCAATTTGATAAATGTAATTAAAAGTGAACTCTAAAATAAATATGCGGTAATTTCGCATTCGCTAGCAATTCTATGATTTTTATTGCATAAATTGTAGCTGCGTTAACACGGCTCACTGCGTTCTTCGCACTGAGCGGGAGGGTAAAGGTGAATGGCGAAATGGGGGCAACTCACCTGTCCAAGTGGAAGGCTGCAATCTCGGCATTGTGACGTTCATAGTCTGTGAAGTAGAAGTGATTGGGCAACGTTTGCTGGTCCCGTGGAAACCTGGAAAAGCAGATTGAAAATAGCATACAAAAGATCGTAATAAAATGAATTGAATTTAATGTGCGGCCACCATTTTGTAGTTAAGTGCATTTGCATATGCAGCGAGGAGAAGCTGCGACTTTCTACAGAAATGCACACAAACAGTCAGAGGGCAGACGGATGGATGGACAGACGGACGCACTGAATGGACTGAATGGCCCGGACGGATGTGGGCGGTTAACTGGCGTGGCTACCTGATTGCTATATGCCTGCTTAATTACTTACATTGCGACACCGCAGCGTAATTCAAAAAACGTTTCATTTAAATTGCAAATGAAGAACATTACTTTGACAACTGCAGCGGTTGGCCAGCTATGAGCTCTGCGCTGTCCACTGTGGTCGTGGCCCCTGAAAAACTGGCCAAGCACCGCCGCGTGGAAATCTCATTAAAAATCGCGAATAAATGTTCAAATTACGAGCTGTATCAAGTGCCCTTTGCAATCCGCTTTAAGCGCATTGCAGCATTGCATTCAACCTAGCGCATGGCCCGTCCATTGGCCATTGGCCACGGCGAAGAAGTCAGGCAGTGTGGGTAAATTATATTTACCCAGGTCGAAAGTGCTGACAAGTAGCAATTGCAGCAATTGTTGTGAATTTTATCAATATTTTCTCTCACTGTTATACTCATTCACGAAGGGAGAGAAGTGCTAGAGCATATTGGCTTTAAGCCATTTCGGTGTAGCCAAAGCTTAGAGCTGAAATCTGGAATACATATTCGCATTTACCCTAATCTTATAAGGTATTTAGATTTGGTATTTGGTATTTGGTATGTGACACTTTTAATTGACAACTCAAGATCAAAATAATATAGTACAAATATACCTTTATTTATTTATCTAAAATATCTAAGGGTCGTTGCAAACCGGACAAAATATATATATTTTATAGTTTTGCAGGTAGAGATCTGCAGATTCCCTTCAGGCTGCTTTCCAGTATTTCCGTAACGTGATTGAGTATTGTGCAGTCGGTAGTACCCGACTTACTTAGTTTGTGTAATGATCGCCACTCCAGAGCTATATGTGCGCATCGTACTTACCGCATGGGCTTCATTAGAGCCTTAACGTCATTCGGATACTCAATGATCAGCTTCAGCTGTGTGCCGCCCTCTTTCTGAACTGGGAAACGGAAAGAAAACAATTATATGATTATTTCATTTCGCTACATATTTATTGCAGTTTAATTAAGGCAAATGTTTGCTGCTTAAATTCTGGCAGCACAGCACGCAATTTGCGCAACGTTGCACACATAATTGGGCCAGACGGAGAAGAAGAAGCAGCAGCAGCAACAACGGCAGCAGCGACAGCAGCAACAGCAGCAACATCAAAAATAGCAACGAACTGCACTGATATGGCAATCATTGAAATTGCATTAAGGGAAAGTGGATGCACAAATTACACTTGACTAAATTGCAATTAAAATGCATAAAGTCCACAAAAATATTGCGTATACGCACACTCGCCACAACGAAGCCCAATTGCTGCCTGTGTGTGCAGTCAACTGGGCAACTGAGCAAGACAATAATAGACACATCAAAACCATATTTTTGCTGCTCCCCAATAAACGTATTGAAAGGCGAAAATCTCAGTTTTGTGCACACCACAAAACACAGAGACAGAGCGCATGAGTTGAGTAAAAACATATTCAAATCTGCACAAATGCCATTAAAATGCTAAGTCGCAAGCCTGAAAATACAATGTGCAAAATGCAATAAAACGACCTTCAGCTGCAGACGAAAATTAAATGTTTGATAAATTCCTTTAATGACAGCAAAGAAATTCCAGTACAAATCAAACTAAAAAGGGTTGCATATTTCTGTCGGATTCATATATGCGAGCTCAGGGTAAAATCGTTTTCTAAGAATATATGTAACAGGCTGAAGGACGAGTGGGAGAGTCCATTAAGATTACAACGAAGAACGGACTAGCTTTAGTAATGATCTTCCGTCCATATGTTTATGGATACAAAAGGTTTATTTTGTTTGTACTTATCTTTAAAGCAAGTGCAGATTGAATTCTTACAATATTACAAAATAAATATATTCTTTTCAGTTTCATATAAACACTTTCTTTTTTTTAGTGAATGTACATATAAGAGATTGGATCCAGTAGGTTGTATAATAAAATATACTCTATTTACAATGCGGCGTATGCGTAATGGATTGCAGCAATGCAGCTGAGGCCATTTAGTATACGAAAGGTGGCAATATGCAATGAGAAATAATGACAATACGAAGATTCTCGTACCATACTTATCTCTTAGAATACATATTACTTTATAATACAACAAATTCCCACTAATAACGGGCGTATACGTAATATTAGTTAGCAACTCACGACTCAAGCCATCTAATTTATGTGAAAGTTAGTGCCTTAGCGCACATGAGACATTGTTGTCATTGTTGTTATTGTTGTTATTGTCGGCGCATAGAGCAGGCAAAATGAGTTTCGCACTTTGTCTTGAACATTTTACATTGTGAGCTGGGCGGGGCTGGGCTGTGCTGCTGCATGGTTTTCTTTTCTTTGGTGCAGCGTGCGCGGCAGCAAAAGTTTATTATTAATAAATTAGAGCTGTAGTAAAGTTTCAAATGAAAATAGTTTCGCCTGCCACCTTGGCGGCTCTCAATAATCCGAGCAAGTTACATGCCGCTCCTTTGCATAATTAAGTCAAATGTGCAGCCAGCCAAAGGGCAAATAAGTTTACAAAGGCAATTCAACTTGAATGCTGGCTGGCTGGCTGGCATTGGCAGTGGGCTACGACATCACTATGAATTTCTGGCCATCAAGAGGAACTACAATGGCAAGGCTGAGTTTGCCGTTTGCCGTTTGCCGTTTGCCGTTTGCCGGTTGCTGTTTACTGTTTGCCCTTTGCTGTTTGCTGCCTGAGCTAATGCGAGCCGTTCAGTCAATATACATACATATGTAGTACTTACCCACATGCTGTATTGGCAGCGTGATCATGTCACGTAGCACCGCATCGACCAGGGTATCGTGCTCGCTGTAGAGCTCCTTCTTGGTAATGCGCAATTGGAAGCGCTCCAAATTGCTGGCGTTTGCCCTGCAATGTAAGTAAGAAATAGAAGAAACTTTAGCCAGATGTGCTGTGCCCTGCCGTCGCTTTGCGTGTAGATTGAGCGACAATCAGGCGAGTTGAGGAATACGGCGGAAACGCTTATAAGCGTGCTATGAGCATGCCTTGGGGCCACAATGTGAGTATCAAGTTGATGTAATGATTGTCACATTGATTTATCAAAGCAGCCGCCAACCGGCAGCTGCTGCAGGAAATCTTCGTCATGCCACACTCCCCATTCCGCTATTCACTCGACACTCTTCTCTGTGTATTTTTGCCTTGCCAATTTGGTTTTCAAATGCATTCTCCCGTTTGCCCTGAATCAATCGACAAACACTCACACACACACATACCGAAGGAGCACGCATTTTTTCGCTGTAATCCTCACAGCCCTGAAAGAAATCGTTCCCTTTGACGATTTCTCTTCCAGTACGTTGGCTGGCGTTGCCAACTGGCGATAGCCAGTAAAAAACGAAAGGAATGGATTTTTTACCACTTTTTAACAACACATAGAAGACGCAGCATTCCTTTCTCTCACTCTCGTTCTCTCCGCCTTGCTTTTTGTCTTTCTCCACGCGCATTTGAAACAGTTTATTTAAGCAGTTTTGCAGTTTGCTCCATTTTTTTCAAATTTTTTTTTTTTTTTTTTTTTTTTTAGATAAGCATTAAATCCGATAGAAAATTGCTACCAAAAAGCGCCCAAAATGGCTTGCCTCAAATGTCTGTTGCATACTTTGTGGGCGAGGGAGCGCTGCAAGCGCGTGGCAAATTATCATCCACGAAATTACCAAAAGATACTAAATAAATACCAAGAGAGAGAGAGACACAAAGTGACAAATTGAATTGTTGAAAAGCTCTTGTCCTGTCGCTGCCGCCGCTGGTCAAGTTGTGCGAGCCAAGCCACTGGGCCAGCGATTCACAGCATGAGCAATGGGCAAATGTCTGCGGCATTGTGTGCCATATTTATCATGATAATGTAGTCTGCATTCGTCTAACTCTTTTAGCAGATAACGGACAGCTCGACTGCACTCACGTAACTCCCATGGATGTCCATCGTCCTTTACAGAGTTTTTCTCTTATTTCCGCATTGCTCGCTGTCGTCGCAGCCAACTACAATGATTGCTGTTCCTGTCTGTCCGGAGTCCGGACTCTCTGGCTAACTGGCTGGCTTGCTGCTCTTGGGGCAGAGTTAACTTGGTGCCCGTGCCGGTCGTGGCCCGACTTAAATCCTTTTCATAATTTGCTAGATGACGTTTGTGATACTTCACGCAGGCGACGCTTTAAAGCTGCTTCCTGTGCCTTGTTGCACCTGCCACCTGCTCTAGCTGGCAGGAAGGAAATAAATGTCTGAAGGCTCAGCCTCCTTTGTGCAGCGACCGGCACAAAATGACTTTCAATATTTCAACAGTTTTTCTTTTCTTTCCGTTTTTTATGGAAATGGCGACAACTTCCTGTCTACCTCACGGCCTTGTAATGAGTGCGCTAAGTGTATGCACAGCCGGAGAAAGACTTTTGTGAGCAGTATGTGAGCTCGCTTTAAAGCGTTCAGTTGGTCTGCAATTAACAGCAGTTGGATTGGCTTCCATTTGGCAGCAGCTGGCAATTGTCATGAAATTGCCAAGAAATTGACGAGGGTTCATGCTGAGGTCGCCGGCGCAGCTGCTAAGTGCGGTCGGCACTTGACAAGCGCACAGCGGCAGGGTCATAGTTCATTCCAGCCAGTGTTGAACAATGCGGCCACACTGGCTCTGCTCGGCACCAATTTCCGTGCAGGTTTCATTTGTCAAATGCCACAACGGCCGGGGCAGCCGGAAAGCTGCGTAATTGATGAAGCAGCTCCTTCAGACATTGACTAATCACAAGATGCTGTCCGGCTGGCAATATGTTGAGGTTGCCATTGGTTGCCCCGCCATAGCTGCCAGCTGCCAGCTGCCAGCTTACACTGAGCTCTGGATTTCTCCATATGCAGCAAGCCATACGTAATGAAACTTCGCAAATCGCATTACATGCGAGGGACAACGAGTGCACTGCATATGCTACAAAAGTATTGCAACAATTAGAAGGACTGAATGCAAAAGTTAGCAAACTGACTGCAACATGTCTGCGATTGAAGCACACTGATATAATGTTGGTTATATAAGCCAGGTACACTCATGGCAGAAAGTTACGTAATATGTCAACGTATTGTTACACTTTGAAACGGATATAACGGTATTGCAAAACACTGCATTGTTGGAAACAAACAAAGTTGAGCAAAGGACGCCAGCAAATTGATGAAAAGCTTTCTTTTATTTATCAATTGAAAGAGAAGAGAAAAAGAGAAAAGATTTTCTTGCCAATCAGCTTAGGGAAAAATAATATATTTATAATTAGCCAAGAGTTACAGGATAATTATTTTATATATAATTTAATAATGAAAGAAATTTCTTGGAGCAATTACTTTGGAATAACTTTGAGCTGAAGAGAAAAACAAGTTCTGGGAATATATTTTTCTCTACATCTCTTCATCTTTAGCAACTCTAGATATTATTTACGCTGTTTGAACAGACAGCCGGATGGATGGATGGATGAATGGACAGACGGACCAGGAGCCAGGTTAGGTAGACTGCCGTCTATCTGATCAGGAATATCGGTATACTATATGGGTTCTGCCACTCCTCCTTCGGCATGCTACATATATTTTCAGAAAATATTAGCCTTGCTTCCTACTTTCAATGGGCTCAGAATTAACTAATAAAGATTCTGTCTGCTCAAGCCCTTAGACTCGGGCAAACCTTTGCAAGCATCTAGCTTACGGTTCAAGTAGTTTTAGTTATCCGCGTTTTATTTGTTTTCTGTCCAAATTTTTTTTTATGCATCAGGCAAGTAGAACAACAGCTATGAGCCGCCAGTCTCCAGCGATTGCGCCAAGTTGGTTGCTCTTAAGCTCCGCCCCATAATTATTTTGGCATAAGAAAACGTCAGTAAACTTTGCCATTGCCGATTCCGGTTACAGCTGGGCCACGCCAGGCCAGGCCACAGGCACTTCTCAGGCTCCGGCGTGTGCTTAGAAAGTGAAAAACTTTGTGCGTGCGAAATTGTGGCGAGCAGACAACCAGCGAATAGCACAACAACACAACCGCGGCCAACATTCCAGCTACAGACTACAGCCAACAAAGACGGCCGACAGCCGACAGTCGACAGCCGACAGCCGACAGGCGACAAGCGGACAAGTGGACAGGCGGACAGTTTGAACTGAGTTCGCAAGAACAACGCGCAAAACGAAAATTAAACTTATATTGTTGCGTTTGCCAGGCAACAAGGATAAACTTTCGCTGGGACGGGCATGGGCCCGGGCCCGGGCACGGGCAGGAGGCATTAAAAGCAGTGACAGCTCTAGCTGGCTGCAGCTGCGATGCCAACTGAATAAGGAATATCCATGCTAGCTGTGCGAAATGTCAGCGTACTTTAGTTTAACACACTCGCCGACATTGAGCATAGTCTTTTATTACGGCAACCGCAGTGCGGGGAGAGGGGAGCGGGGATCGGAGCGTGGATCGGTGACAGGGCAACAGCTGCTTAGCTTGCAGTAGGTGGTTTCTTTTTTCTTCCCCTGCTTACTTGTTATTTGGCTGTAATTCGCTCGAAATAAGATTGCTTTCCCAGCTCAGCGCGGTCGCAATTGTGGGCTAATTAAAAATTTGTCATACTAATTAAGTGCACGCCACGAGACGAAGTAACGGGATAAGCGCAGGACTCGGTGGCTTATGGTAAATCAGAGGCAGCGCAACATGAAAACGTGCAAGATTTTCCTAATTATATTTTACCCAATAAAGTGAGCCTAGCCGTTCACCTGCCCACCGCTAGTACACAATAGACTCTCGTATCTCGCATTTCGCATTTCGTATCTCGTATTTCATATTGTAATTTTTAGGCGCATTTGCATTTTTTTTTTGTTCATCCTCTTCTACTATTCTTTGCTGCACCTGAGCAGCGTGCTGCTGTCACAAAACTGCTGACAGAGCTGCCGCAAGCCGCAGAGCTAGGGCTGAGGGCGGTCTAAGCCACACGAGCTCGGCACGCTTCTGCTGCGGCAAAGGCAGCTAAAGCTGCCAGCAGAGCCAGCGAATGAGACGGCATTTTAATGAGATATCACTGATGGAGGCTGTAAGAGGAGAACCTTTCTGCAGATCTAATTGCGACTGTCATATTGAAGAATAGCGCCAGACATGTAGATGTATATTAAATTTAATTTATGTAAGGAGAATGCATTATCTGATATCTAATCCGATTGCAAATGCTAACAGAGTATCTTCACTTCGAGCAATTTTTAACTAGAGCAGTTCGAGCTTTTTTTCTCGGCACATTTACTGCAAGCCATTTCGCTTGTTAATGAAATTTGCATTTGTGCTACGTGCAGCGCAAAAAACATTTGGCTCCGTTTCGGTGATGTGCGATAAATTAGAAAATCAAGCATTTTATGCTAATGCCAACGCCCACAGAGCGAACCCCCGACAGACCGACCCACCGACCGACAGGAACAACATACTTTCAGCTTGACAAGTTCTAACCACTTTGCATTTTTCCAATTTTCTTTTATTTTACTTACTTTTCTACTTGATTTCCTCACTCTCTCTCTCTTTCTCGCTCACTCTCTCACTGTACGAGTGTGCCAACTAGTCGAGCAAATGAAATTACTCATACGCCACGTTTTCAATTTTGATAAAGACTGCCAAAACTGTGTTGCATATTTTTTGGTGGGGCTGGTGGTGGTGCGAGCGTGGCAACGTAAGCTGATTACTTGTCATTGGATTGAAATGAATTTGTAGAGAAGAAAATGCCGCTGCTGCCTTATATGAGAGCTGAGGAAATTGGCGTACGCAATTCGCATTGATTTCTTTATTGCAATTTTATTTGATTGCGCTCATATAAAATTACGTATACGCACTGCTGAGACAAGTACTGTTACGTAGCGCTAAAATCTCATCAGCGTTATCAGCGAATGGCATCAGGCATGCAATCCTTGTCAACAATGGCAACAACAACAACGTCTCAACCACACAGCAACAACAATCAAGCAACACTTATGAGAAAATAGAGCTGGGGCGCAACGTTAACGTTAGAGCAAATATCTAAAACGTAAACGTGTCACGTAAATGGAGCGTAAATTTCAATAAAAATCATTTCAATTTCAGCCAAAGCCAAAAGGAACCGTAACTGCTTCAATCGTATGCCCTGCCACAGAGGCAGGCTGAAAAGTTATGTAGTCTGATGGGTGGTGAGGTTTGGGTGGTTCAGGTGGATGTCTCTTAAGTGGAGCAGTCAGAGAGAGTGAGTGGAAGAGAGAGAGCAGGCACGCGTGCCTCTTGTAAGTGAAACCGTAATCTGCCAATGCAAAGCAAAGTGCGAAGGTAAGCAAGAAGGTAAAACACTAAGCATTATGTCTTCCGCTCAAGGGAAATTGAATTTTTCGCCCAACTTCCGCGCCGTCTGCCATTAACAATGGCATCTAACGACTCAATATCACTTACCCGACTTGACGGTGCAGCAGCTCGCCGAGCGTCGGATTGTTAACCGTCACATCTGGCTCATTATCGACTATGACGTGCATATACTCATCGCTCAGCAGCAGCTTCTGCAGGTCCAGGTACCGATCGTGCGGCTTCGGCTTGCGGGTTGACTGCGAGGGCCCAGCGATTACGCCCTCCTGCCCGCTCGTCGTCCCGCCGCCCGACGCCTGTGCCGGCGTGGAGGCCTCCTTGGAGCCAGAAGAGTTGCTGCAACAGAAGAAGGCAAACATACATAAGTCTCTCTGCACAAAGGAACTGAATCAACGTACGCTAATTGCAACTCACAAGTGACACTTGAGCGCTGCCTCTCTGCCTGCCTCTTTGCCTGGCTTTGCTGCAATTTAGCTACGTTTATTCCTAGGCCTAACTTGACCAGAATTTCCCGTACATAAAACTCATAAGCATCTGTCTCTCTCCCTCAAGTGCCTTGCCAGAAAACTAAGCTCAGTCTATTAGATTTTCTAGTGAATTCATCACAGTTGCTGTTGTTTGGCTCGTATTGACCTTGGAGCGAGAGCTGAGATTGCAGTCAGCCAGTTGCTCGTTATCACAATATTCGAAAAGTTTGCTCGTGTGTGCTTCGCCCGTAATTTGAGTGCTGCTCTCTTTGGTCATTAAAACGAAATTCCAAATATGCCTACAACAAGTAGGGGCTGCTCATGGCGAAGCCGCTCGATGTTGTTGCTGTCGCATCATTAAACGAAGGGTTTCTTGCAGCTGAGCATTGGCGCAAATCAAGTCTTGCAAATTGCTTCGCCTCAGCCACAAAACTCTGTGGATTGCCGTTTAAATTTTTAAGTGTGCCACAATTTCTCGGCAGCTCGCCTGCCGCTCAACCATTTGCCTTCTGGCTCTGGATTATGTGCCTCGGGGCGTCACTCAAAAGGTGCGCACATGTGCAACACCGTCTGGAGTGTGAAACTTTTTCAATTAACAGTTGCCGGCATGCTTTAAACTTTACAGCCGCAACAGATCCTGGCGCTGTCTCTGCCGACGCGTCGCTGCCGAAGGGCTCATAACGAGTCTCAGCAGATTTCACGCTTTTAATGCCAGGGCACGCAGAATAATGCCACATAATGCCATTATATGTGGCAATCAGCTTACTTTGTTGCACGCATGTATGCATACATCCATACAATATATCAAGCCAATTCCAACAAGTTGGCGATGAGCGCACGCGAGTTGAAACTCCACTCGAGTCTTTATGCAACATACCGCATTGATTTTGACTGGCTAGAGCAGCTTATAGGTTTGCGGCTAACTGGCCACGTGGCAGCTTGGCCATCGGCTTTATTTAGCATCAACAATGTAATGCAGCAAAGCAACAAACCAGCAGAGCAGCATACATACGTTCGACGGATCGATGCTCGATGTGGCCTGCACTTAATTAAACCAATGACAAAGTTTCCTCATTAAACTGTCACGTGTGTGTGCAGGCGTGGTGCAGTCGAACCCTCCATGGCCTTCTATCAACTTGGTAATGGAACGCGGCTAATTAAATCCCATTTAATACAAATATCAAACGTGCAATTGTGTCACATGCAGCTGGCTAAGCTCTCAGGAATGTTCGTTAGAAGTGGTCAGCTAATAGTACTACGGTAATATCTTGAATTGATGGATCAGGGATTAGCAGAAATCTATGAATATCTGTCGTGAATGAAGCAATCGGCTATTATTCAAAATTCATTTTATGAAGCTGTAGTTGTTCTAGTGTGAATCATATCAAAGTTGTTATCAAACAATTTATTTGAAACTGTTTCTATAGTTATGAAAAATTATATATATTTTTTGTTTTAACTCGGCTTTAAAATATTGTTAAGGCATCACAATATGATTTTCGGTCATCTTTTCTTTTTCATTTAATATTATTTTACAAATTGAAATAGCATAAAATATTCATGAAGTTTTTATGAAATACACACAGTAGAAATCCGATTTTTAATAATATTAATAATATTTTTTCGCAAATACCATGAGCTTAAAATTCGACATAGAAAAAATTAATGTTCGAATTGTTTGGGTTTGTTTTTTTTTTTTTTTTTTTTTTTTTAATGTACTTTGACAATTTTTGTTCCATTACTAAAGGCAAAACATTTCAGAATTTCGAAAAAAATGACAAACATTTGATAAGATTTAAATAAAAAATTTTACGAATTAAATAATTAGTTCACGCAAGAGCAGTGATTGGAAATTATTAAGTAAATTATTATTTTCCAACAAACTATTACAATTTGGCCGTACGTGTCTAAGATAAAATATTCCAAACAGGGTAACCTTTTTTTAATGATTTGCTGTAACAACATCTGTTCAATCTAATAAACTTAATCGGACCTATTTCTTCAATATAAAAAATCCAACAGATATATTAGTTCTATAACCCATTTGTCAAATCTCATTTGTAGCTAACAAACAGAGGGTCAACTTTGTCCATGCCATTAACACGCAGAGTGATGTGTCATTTAATTAAGCTAATGACAACGATTGCTCATTAAACTGTCACGTGACGTGAGCAGTGCAATCTGCTGCCTCGCTTCTGTCTCTTCAGCAGGACATGTAACGCGTTTAGTTAAGCTAATTTGCAAGTCGTGAGAATGCCCAAAGCTGCAGCGGACAGTGTCAACTGCAGCTGGCCAAAATCCCAATTTGAGATGGGTATAAATATACAGCGCTGGCATTACATAGAGCTAATCGAGTTCAGAATGTCGACGCGAGCCAGCGATAATTTCAATGAAATAATGCGCTTTGTGCGCTTCATAACGAGCTGCGTCGGGTTCGATGTCTACGATCCGAACTTTCACTTCAGTGCCGTTACCATCACCGTAGTAGCGCTGATTAGTATGTACTTCATCTTCACAATTTTAACGATAGCCAAGGAGTTCCACGGCAACTGGATGTTCATGATACAGGCCAGTGCCATGAGCGGCAGCGTCGTGCAGGCCTGCGCCAAGATATACATGGGAGTTTCCTCGGTAGAAACGGTGTCCAAGCTCTACGTACAGCTGAATCAGAACTACACTCACTTCGAAAAGGAAGAGGATGCCAGATACTCCATGGCGCTCTTGCGCAGTTGCCATAAGCTGCGGCGCTTTCTAGTTCTGGTCGGCATCAGTTACATGGTTGGCGCCTTGGGCATGATCATTGTAGCAGTGCTGGCTTCAATCCTAACGGGCAAACTATATCTAATCATGCACTTTCATCTGCCTGGGATAGACGTGAACACCGAATGGGGTGCCTGGGCCACGCAGGCCCTGCACTGCGTATGCATTATCCTCGGCGGACTCGGTCTCTATACGGGCGACATGATTATCATAGTATACTTAATGCAATCCTTTGTCTACGCCGACATCCTACAACTCAAGGTCGACCACCTCAACGCGCTTAGCGAAAATCAGGACAGTACTGAAAAACAACTTGAGGCCTCAGCGCAGCTGATCAACATTGCCAAGTGGCATCAGACCTATACAAGGTGAGCAGGCATCTAGCCAGTGTTCCATGTATAAACTGTGACTTCCCGTAGGTTCATCGACCAATGCAATGACATGTTCTCTGTTTTGGTATCTGTTCAGGTGACAACCTCTGCCGTATGCATTGTCATCACAATCTTCTCGCTGCTTACCAGCGACTGGATCGGAGGATATTGCTATTTCTGTGTCCTCGTGCCCAATATGTATCTCTACTGCATACTAGGCACAATACTGGAGAACTGTGTATGTCTCAGCCAACGGGTGGCGGACAAAGCTATGCAATGTATTTAACATAACGATGTTTTCTCTCGATTTTTAGAGTGAAAAATTCATGTACGAGATGTACAACATCTCGTTCTACAATCTCAATCCGAGTCAACAACGATTTGTCCTCTTCATGCTGGCCAAGAGCCAGCAGCCAGGTGCAATCCTGCTGCTCGGAGTGATGCCATTGTCGGTCAGCAGTGCTCTGCAGGTGGGTCAAAGGACTTGAGGTCAATCTGTTAATGACATTTGCATATGCATGTGCATTTATTTGCAGGTAACTAAAAGTATCTATAGCATTACCATGATGATGGCTAGATTTTTACAAAAGTAATCAACACTTGATGTGCATCTGATGAACATTTGCTGCTTACACATAAATCTGATATTACAGTCGGTGTTCAGCCAACTCGCAGCAGGTAGTTATAGCCGCCATTTGGCTGGCAGCACCAAACGATTTATGAATTAATTAAATGTTTACCAACTAACAACAGAGCTGTTTTATGTTCCCTTGCCGGCGGAAAGGAGCTGCTGCTGCCACCTGGTAGCTTATGGGATGAATTGCTTGCGATAGTTTTTTGCCCAGGCGGAAGCGTGTCTTGCTGCCTGTCTTGGCAGCGTGTCTTACGTTTTGCTGCGTCACTTTTATGTTTTATTACTTGACTTCCGCCAGCCGCAGCATAAAGCTGCCGTGCACACACACACACACACACACACACATAGGTAAAATAGGAGCAGCATGTGGAAGTCAGCGTAAAAGCGCAATTGCAAGACGGCCGATGGGCGCTCGTGTGCGTGTGTGTGTGCATCTGTGTTTGTGTGTGGGAGCACGGCAAGCATAAAAAGCGGCTTTGGCTGGCTGTTATGCCCTGCTTGTTGTTGGCTTCAGCAGCAGACATGTCCTGGCCCGAGCACTCGCTGCCTGGAATTCCAATTCTCGCGAGCTTTCGCTGCCTGCTTGCAGCAATTTATGATTTAATGGCAGGGCAACCATGCTATATTGCAACTTTTGTTGCATTTTGTAAAATTGAATTATGTGCAATAGTCGTTTCGAGCGATGGCGGGCAAAGGCAAGCGGAAGTGCATCATTAAGCGGGAGCAATGACCGCCGCATAAGTAACTCCTGCTGCTGGCCAACGATCCAGCAGGACAGTCACTACATTGCAATATAATCAGAGCAGTGCCTTTTTCAGAATTCTTGATGAACAAAGAATTACAGGCATAGGCATTCATAGCATATGTGATTGCTAGCTTCAAAATATATAATATTTTCCGAAGAAAATATTGCTATCAGATTGGTGCAAAAGAATGGCATTCGTATAAAGAAAATGAGAGCAGATTGGCATAGATCTCACCTAGTGAATAGATATGTGTATATATCAATATATATACTTATAAGAACATTTTTGCTGCATTTTAACATGGATTTTTAAGAGCTCAATGCTCTCCATATTCTCGTTGTTCCTGTGTTTGCTTGCTGCAGCTAAGCAAATGAATAAATGACAAGGGATTGCTGAATTAAATCTCAGCCCATTCGAACGTTGTGATATTTATGAATACTCATAAAAAAGAACAAAAGCCGGAAGTTGCTTTTGCACTCAAGCGAAGTTGCTTGAATACTCACATAAATCAGCTACAAATCAGTCAAAATAAAGTCTTGAAACGATGAGTTGCAAACAATCTAAGCTGGAACTTTTCTAAGACTGACCTACATTGCTGAGCAAACATTACCAGATTATCTAATGCAAATGTCAAGGCTCAAGATATCATTACAGAAATAAACTGGCATAGGCTGTTAGCTGTAAAGAAAGCTCAGTTTTATACCCTTATAATTTCTTCCTAAAAAACCATTAGTTATCTTTATATATGATTATCTATGTGGGAAATTTCTACCTTACTATAAGTTCTAAACTCATTATAAGTTTTTTTTATATAATTTACTTTACTTTAAGAGTAAAATGAATTGAATTGAATTGAATAATAGCTTCGCGTCTCACGTATAGTCAACAGCAAGTTTTCTATAACAGTTAATTAGCCGACTTTAAAGAAGAACTAAACGATCTCTCAGCTGCTTACCTTTTCTGCAGAAATTTGCGCTTGAACTCGTGCAGCATGCCGCCGGCTCCGGCTGTGCCGGCCTCGTTGTAATCGTTGTTGCTATTGCCAAAGCGAAGCTTTTGATGCTGTTGCTGCAGCAGATGGCGGTTGGCAACCCCGAAGTCCATTTGCACGTCCACAATGAGCAGCAGCGTGAGCAGCACGAGCGTCGCGCCTAGGCTAATGGCGAGGCGCTCTTTGAGCTTCATAGTACGCAGGACGGCCATGATGGGTGTAGGAGCGCTGCTCCCTTGGCTCTTGTTGCTATCCAAATGATGTGAGGCAAAAGCCGTTGTTGTGGCGCCCTTTAAATTGCTGTTGTTTGAGCCGCTGCCACGGAAACTGCGCAGCCTTGCCAGCCAGCCGAGCTGACAATCCGCTTTTTGCTTTCGCCCCGCAGCCGACCTGTGCGGTGAGGCCGATGCGGATGCGGATGGGGATGGCGGAGCAGCACTGTTGCGGACGCGTGTCGAGCGCACAATGCGGCGCTTGATGAGCACACGTCGTCGAGGCGCTGCCTCGTCGTTGCCAACGTCACTCGGCTGAACCTCAAAACCCTGCCAAGGTGCCTCCTCTAAAGCGTCTGTTGAGTAGCTACCGGTGGCATCAACTGCACCACTTGCGCTTGAACGTCGAACGGCAGCAGTTTTACTAAACTTATTGTAGTTGTTGTTGTCGTCGCTCTGCCCATGCAAATTGGCAACGCTTATTTGTTCAGCTGATAAGTCGGTATTTTCAATATCAGCGCTGTTGTAACGCTGCTGTCGCTGCCGGAATCGCTGCAGTCGCTCCGCTAGCGGCGCAAACTGCGCACAGCTGCAAATATAGAGAAGAATTTCATTAGAACAGCCACATGCACCTAAACAACAACATATGTATGTATGTACGTATGTATGTTTCTTAAATCTTAAAACTAGTCGACTGCTGTGCGAAATGCAATCAAACGCGCCACTAAAAAACCAACTATAAACAAGAATTGAGAAAAAGCTTAACAGAAAAAGACAGAGCGGTAGAGAGAAAGAGAGAGAGAGAGAGAGACGAAATGTTTTGGCAATGTTTTGGTATTTTATTGAACATCATAAAAAGTAATGGGCAATTTAAAAACTAACTTTAACTACTGGACGTGCTGATACCCTAAACTACAAATTGTAGCAAGAGTTAGAAACTATCAAAATAGAACAACAAATAGAGGAAACAGTGCTAAATCCATGTCGAGCCGCAACGGCTTAAGGTGTCATACGCTTTAAGAGAAACATTGCTACTCTATTTCGTACCATGACAAAGTCATCAGACTCCCATTGTTTGGGTGCCATAGCAAGTGGAGGAACGAGCGTTAAAAATATGAAGAGACGACCACGGCTCCCGCCTCCCCCTCCTGGCTCCATAGCGTAGTTGCTTTTTTATTATTTGTGCATGAAACGGCGTCACGACCATCCGCCATGTTGACTGCTGCCGGAAATGCGGCAGAGTCCATTTTTTGTGCCGCCAACGTTGACGCCGTCGTCGTCGTAGTTTTTGTTGTTTCTTTTATTTTCTATTGTCTGGCTGAGCACATATATTTTTTGCGCCAGTTTTGTGAACTGTCGGTGTGTCAGACAATCTGGATTTGAACTATAACTACAACAGGCTCGCGCAGGCTTAGCGTAGCTCTGTTTGTTGTTGTCGCTGCTGATAGCCAGGTCAAATTTAACGAAGCTTGTTGCTTGCAGGTACTCCGATAGCAATATTGTTGCCAACACACAGTACAAACAGCAACAACAACAACGACGACAAGGAACGATAACAGTCCGAACTAGAACTACGTGCCAGTGCAAATTAAAGGCATATTTATGGGCATTTTCCCATGGAGAGGGAGAGGCAGAAAGAGAAAGAGAGAGAGAGAGAGAGATAACTTACATTGCATAGAGCCCGCATACTGCTGACATGACATAACTAAGCCGACAGCCTTAATAGAATTTTGGCAGCGAATCGCATGCAAAAATATCTGATTAGGCCGGTGCCTGACAGATAACACGACAAAGGTGCCATCAGATTGCAAATGGGCCACAGCACCACACCGACTCGAATGGAACCGAACTGAGCCGAGATGTACCAAACTAAACCGAACTGAGCTGAACTGAGCAGAGTTAAGTAAGGAGCCTAAGCTCCATGTCGCCATGTCAATCAAATCAAATATCGTGCCAATTGCCGATGTTGCCCATCAAAACTGCATATCACGGCGAGGCGATTTGACAGCTAGATCCAGACATAACTGGGCTGGGCGAGGCATTGAACAGATATGTATCTGAGATATGCGCAATGCCTGCAACAATCAAATCAATTGCAGGCATCGGCGCCCCTCTGACATGTCAGAGTCGAATGCAGACGCCGACGGCAACGTGACCTGAGACGATTCTCTATAGACTGCAGGAGCCGGCGATACTACGTACATTTACCGACTGACAACAACGGCGACAAACGCTCGATAAGCGACAGCACAAACCGAACGACTGCAAGCTGCAATGCCAGCGCCTGCAACTGAAAAGTTCGAGTGGGACAGGGGGGAAGAGCGAAGTATGAGACGCGTTAATGGCAATTGCTTCTGCCCCATGTTATTGTCGATAACATTGCTGTTGTTGTTGGTGCCGCTGTTGTTGTTGGTGTTTTGATAAAATTGCTGCGTTGCATTAAATTAAACTGATGCGGTGTATTAATGATGGAGCGACGGGAACGCTGCTAGCAACAGCCTTACTTTAATGCAATTGCCGACGACAGCAACAGCAACAGAGAGAGAAAGAGAATGAGTGAGAGAGAGAAAGAGAGAGAAAGAAAGAGAGAACGAACACGTCGCCACCGGCTGATTGAGTGACAGCAATTTCCCTTCCAATTTGCGCTCTGTGTTTTTATTAATCAGACAAAAGAGAGAAAACAATATAAAAGGGGTCTAGCTAGGCATAGGCGAGTTCAATGCATGTGGAACGTGCGAAAGAGCCCCCACTTATGCGTCGATAAGAAATGCTCTCCACAGACAGAGAGAGAGAGAGAGAGAGATAGCGTAGCACTTCACTCGAATATCTTAGCTGTGTTAATTAATAGAGTAGCCTCATGCTGATCAGCCAAGTCAATGGCTGGTACATGAAATCATTTGGCCGTAAACTGTTCCGATTAGCTGGGCACTGCTGTCGTCATCATCAGCTGCCCTCATTATCGACCGCCCACCCCCCTATTGTATGAATCAAACTCACTTTCAATCAAATGACAAATTGCTTTCCGCTACCTTTCTCCTGCTCAATTAGCTTCAGTCAGTGAACTTGCCAGCGTCGACAACAAGATTATGCATTTTACCTTCGTCTGCTCTTCCCCTACCTAGCCAACCTCCTTCCCACCACACGAACTGCAGCTCGTAGTCGCCCCTCGACTGCGCCAGCAACTACGCATGATTGATTTTCGGAAACTATTTCCCATGCCCCCTTCGCAATCTCTAGTTGCCCCATATAGGGCGAGTGAGCTGTGCAATTTTTGTTGTTGTGGTTGTTGTTGTGTTAGTGATGTTGCTGCTGCTGCTGTTGTTATTGTAAGTGCGAGTGAACGCGTAACCCGCACAAACTTGACGCGCTAACAAACTCGGCAACTTAAATCAAATCAATGGCGATTGTGCAACAGCAACTGCTGCTAAAAATGACACGCTTAATGCGCTCAACACCCTGCCCCAGCCTGCCCCCATCTGACTTCTCCTGCCACAATTTCTACAGCTGTTTGTTGCTTGCCACGCATCAATGAGGTTGAAGAATGTTGAGCATTGTGCTGCTGTTACTGCTGCTGCTGCTGCTGCTGCTGTTGCTGCTGCTGCTGTCGACATGCCCAACAACATTGAGCGAGAGTGGCTGGCAAAAGAGACTTATCGATTTTATGGGATTGTTGTCAGCGGGTGCACTTGAGCTGCTTACGATAGCAACAACAACAACAACAGCAACAACCACTGCACTGTTGCCTTATCGACCAATCGAGCGAGCCAATCACGCAAACTGTTATCTGATATGCAAATGTCTGACTAACTGTTGCAAATGCCATTCGATTGAAACAGCTTGTCAAGGTTAGTTTCGCTGCTCACTCTGCTAATTCGGCCAAATTTTCACTCAACTTCGAGCTGGCGAAAATGCAACGAGTTCTCTTAACTCACTCAAGTTGATGTCGAAAATTAAGAAAACTTTGCAACTTCATGGGACCGACTTGCTGCTCAGTTTAGTCTTGGGAACATAATTCTTTCAGCATAATTTAATTAAAATATAAAATTCTTATCCCAGACTGAGTTGAGTTTGAGCCTGTATAAGCTCATATTGCTTAGTTTCTAAAGCATTTTAAGTTTCTAAAGCATATTTCTGTTGCTTATTGTGAGATATTTTCTCTGTGTTTTTTTTTTCTTTCTTTCTTTCATTCATTCTTGGGGAGTTAGCTGCGCGCTTTGTCAATTTACCTTTCGCTGTGCATACTTGGGCGTTGCTCCTCATCAACCTTAGCCGCGTCGTAATCGCGAGCAGCAGCAGCGCCAGTGGCTGCCGTATAAATGTCTTGGCGCTGGTCGGGCTGAAGTGAGCTCTGTCGCAGTCTCAGGTGATTCAATGGCAGCGATTTCTCTGCTGCGTTGCCCCAGGTCATTTCATTACCAAAGTCAACATTGTTGTTGCCGCTGACTTCAGCCAGCTTAAGCTGATCCAGCTCATGCTCCTGCTGCTGCTCCTGCTGCTGCTGCTGTTTTTGCATGCTGCTGTTAATAAAATTTTCCGGCTGGCTCATTGCCTGCCAGTTCTTACGTTCGTGCCAGGCCAGTGAAGGACGACGCAGCGGCTGCTGCACCTGCAGCTGCTCTGTAGCCAATTGCAATGCGCTCGGCTGCCAGTCATTGTTTTGCTTGTTGGCCCAGTCGTTCTGGCTGCCATAGGCATTGAACTGCCGGCTCAGACTGCCCTTTGAATTGTTCTCATATTGTTCCATTGCTGATTGATTTCTAGTCATTGCCATTTGATTTATGTCGGGGCCATCGCTCCCTCGCTGCCATATGCCTCCCTGGTAATCGCCATTGTTCGCATTAGTCCCATTGTAGCTGGCTATTTGTCCCATGGAACGTCTCAGCGCCTGATTGCTCTGGGACAGCCGGCCCGGCTGAGTCACTTGCCGTTCAGGCGGTTGCTCCTCCTGTGGCTCCCGTTGCTCCCGTTGCTCGAGCTGCCCTCGATCCAGGCAAACACTGCTCTGGCTGCGCTGCCGTGCCGCCTTTCGCTTGGCCAGCGCCGCGGGAGTGGGCGCAAATAGATTCCGTATATTTGCATTGCGCTCGCTGCTGCCGCCGGCGTCGCTGCCCTGCTTGACCTGAATAATTGTGAATTGGATTGTTTGCAATATGGTTTTTATCGCCATTTCTTTTTCAGCTAGAAGCGGCTTTTGTTTCTGGCCGTTTAGTAATTGGTTAATCGGACTGGCGCTACAAAAATCCTGCGCTCAGGCAAATCATGCTCAACGATTGGGGTTAGTAGAATGACCGGAGAGGGGAGCAAACGTGACAGTAACGATAACAATTATTATAAACAGATTAACAGAGGAGCCATAAAAGACACTATGGCCGACTCAACGCAACTACAGACATAATCGGATGATTTTTCTTTTCTTTTTCTTGTTCCAGAAGTGAACCAAGGCCGGAAATGGTAGTACTTACGCTGCTCGTCAGCGAGATCCTTGAAGTCAGAGACATTGGGGTAGACGTAAGTAGAGAGCTGAGAATTCAGGGTGTCATCAAAGTATACGGATACAGGAAATTCTGTGTGCGCCTCAAAGTCGGCTCAATCTCTTCATCCGTAAAACACTGTCACACACAGAGACAGCAACGTGGCCAAAAAGAATAAAAAAAACGAAAAAAGCAAAAAGACATTCTGATGGGAGAGAGAGAAAATTTGAAACGTAAGACAGATTAGCATAAGCGGATAATACCCAAACAACGAATTGGCAACAGCAACAGCAACAGCAACGGCAACAACAACAGCAATGGCAACGGCAACAACAACAGCAATGACAACAAAACAGCAACTGCAACAAAATTCAGTAAGCCCAACATTGTATGGGAGATGGACAGCATGTGTGGAACATCTAAGTGCTGATGCCAAGCAATTCTCAAATGCATAGCAAACAAAGCAACAAACCTGCACAGAGAGCACGGAGAGCCAAGCACGGCGAGTGGGAAAAAGACAAAGCCACATCAATTCAAATGTGAGTGGATGGATGCTTGAGCTCCAGCTGAAGCCCCTTTAAATACGCAATTTGAGTGGCAAGGCGTAAAATGCCAACCAATGCCGACAGATACATTCAAACTATCAGCAATAACAACAGCAGCAACAACAACAACTACAACTGCTGCAACATGCTCGAACTTGACATAAGAATCAGGGAGCATCAACATTTTCTGTTTATCAGCAATAAATTGACATGTAAATTAAAGTGTCTATAATAATGAATTGACATAGGAATAGCAGAGCCTAAAGAAATGAAAAATCTATGTAAACTATTTCCAAAATACACTTCTGTTATAAAAAATTATTTGACATGGAAATAGAATGCCTAAAGAAGTAAAATATATATATCTACTAATTATTTGTCATATACAGCATATGTAATTACTGTCACTTTTATTAAAAACAATTGATTTGGTCAAGCGGCGTTTCATTTTACTCAACTTGAGCTTGAATCTTTTCATTTAATTTGATATTGTGTGGGTAGCATGATTGACATGTATATGACTTGACTTGTATATCGATCCAAATAGTTCCCACAGTCAAGTGTCTATTAAAACACGTTGCGCCTGCTGAAATACAAGCAGTTCAGCAACAACAAACTAATCTCAAGTTCTCATGTTTGGCGTAGAGTCTAGAGACTATCAGCATTTCTAGAAAATTGACATAGAAATTGCGAAAACTCTAGCTCTGTAAATAATTTGTAAATTATTCCATAGCATATGCAATTACTATGACTTCAATTATAAACAATTAAACAAATATTATCAACTTGAACTTGACTCTTTTCATTTGTGTGGGAAATTGCGTCAATGGTTGTATATCGATCCGAGTAGTTCCCAGACAAGTGTCTGTTTGCTGATATACAAGTACTTCGAATATTTTCTGGCTTCACTATCAACAAAATAAACAAAGTGCCTTGCAAATACACACACACACATACAACACACACACACTCGCACGCAACAAGACATTAAGATAAAATTGAAACCGGGACGAGCTGTGCTATCTGATGCAACTTTACAGCTGTTTGCGTTTGGCTGCAGCGTGCAACCTAACCAAAATGGAAGCCAGAAAAGGCTGAAATGCATGTCAAGTGAAATTACTTGTTTGCACTGGCAACAGATTGGCAAATAGGGAGTCGGCAGCTGCTGGCTAGATTAGGCCAACGGCCACACCTACACACCCACACACACACATACACATATGTGCTCCTGTCTTAGCTCTGTGATATATGCAGACGACACTTCGATCTGTTAGGGCAGGCGACTAGCAGCTATAAATTGAGATGAATGTCGCTCGGGCAGGATGAGGACCTGCGGCCATATACACAATGTGATTCTTACTTGTGTCGCCTCGAGTGCATTTGCCTGCTCGCTGTCTATCTGGAGCTGCATGATGAATACTCATCGAATGGGGTGGCTTTTGGGGAAGGCGCCGCCATTGCAAGTGTGCGATGTCTATAAATATTTTATTGTATTTCTGCATTTTTCCCCCTTTTTCATTGAACGGCACCATAAAAAGCAGCAAGTGGGGTTGCGACAGCGGACGGCCATTAAAATGCAACACGCATGCAACGCGCTGCAATTGCATTGCATAATTTAAGGCGCTCGCACACGCAGTCAACTGAAACAATCAGCAGCAAACCGCTGCTGCCAACGTCATTTCCAGCGTCGCGTCGCGTCGGGTCGCGTCGTTTCGCATCGCCTCCCTGCTGATGTCGCCCATAAAATATTCATTTAAAATGCAACATGCAACACTTTGCATCACGCACCCAGCACACCCACACTCATACACGTGTGTGTGGTTGGGTGTATGTCAGCTCTAGAAATATTTTATGCCGTTGACAGCCCCAACCGGACAACTGGACCTGGCATCGCATGGCGCGCTGTTAGCATTTTGACGCTCCAAAAATTCTAATCCGTGGAGCGCGAATACACGTGTCATATTCGGCCAGGCTTTGACACATTCAATAGTTTGCAATTGATAACAGGCGCAACAAAACAAGGCAAACAGAAGCCAACAAACGAGCACTTACCAAACAAACTCCAACAGCTAACAGCTAACAGCTGAGCGGGGGCTGGTGGTTGGTGGGGGTTGGTGGCGGACCCTTCGTTTGCAAATAGGATCAATTATCAACTGTAAATAATGTGAAATATTTGTTTCATTAGCATTGCGATGCATATTGCCATATAATATCATATATTATTTCATTTAGGGTTTACGTTCATTTAATTAATGAGCATTTTAGACTCATTCACAAATAATAATACATTGTTCGACTTGCTTTGTCTAAGCCATCACAGACAATCGCATCAGAGTCAACTCAGAACATATCGTTCGTTTAATATACATATAAACACATAATATATTTACACATGTAATATTTACGCACTAGAAATAGTTTATCATTCAGATTATTGCAAATTCAAGAGTCTTGTAATAAGAATTGAATACACAATTGATTTATTGGCTCGGGCTTCAATGCAATTGATTGAATTGTCTACAAGACCACACTGACTTGGCAATTTTAAACAAATACAAATGTCAGCTGGCAAGTCCATAGCAGCTCATTTATATTCAAATCCAATTCGGTTATCAGCTCATTGCATTGCTGTGCAGCAGATTGGCTAGCAGCCTTTGATAAACCCGCTTAAGAGTACATCAGAGCGCACTACCGCTGCTGCACCTACGCATAATGCACAAAGGTTGTTTCGATCAAACATGGGCGCATTAATGCTCTGGGATGGGCCATGCAGATGCAGTGATTACGGGCTGCACATGAACATGGACTCTTAAAAGCAATATCACGTAAGATAGGCGAACTACAGCGGCGATGAGACAATGCAGTTTTACAGGAAACTGAAGCCCATGCAGCTCTTCGGGCCATTTGCGGTAAGTACAATTATCGAATTCACTCAAACGTGGCTATATTGTCGTCATCGCTCATCGTTCATCGCTCAGTGCTCAACGGGCCCCTGAAGTCTTTATGACCAAACTGCTGGTTTGGTTGCCAACTGGCCGATGGCTGCGCCTAATTGTGCTGCGGTAATAGATAGATAGATCGAGAGCCTCCCAAGCACACGAAGCTCACGACTTGCTCGACGCGATCATGCGCCTCAGATTATGAGCCCAGCCAGCGACTTCAGCTCGAACTCTGCACGTTTTTTTTTTTTTTTTTCTTTTTTTCTTTTTTTGCACAAAAAGCGAAAACGAAAAGGGAAATTTCTTGCTGGCTCACGTAATTGAATTGCAGGCAGCTAAATTGGCATTTATTATAATAAAAGCAAATATGCAATTTCGCTTTTCTAAAAAAGCAGAAAAAAACTTCAAAGAGGAAGCAACAACTGCAAAAAACCTGCTGTTTAGCTGGGAGCATGAGATGACAGCCTTAGCAAAGGAAAGTCAAGTGAAGCGATTTGTTTGAGGAAAAAAAAATAGGTGATAATAGGATATGCATTTTCACGTACCATTATAATTGTAATCAATTAATGCGTAACTCTAACTGTCTGTTAATAGGCTTATCGAAAAGTGAAATGCAAAACAGATAATAGAAATCTGCCCGTCAGCCATATGCTCTGCTATTAATCCCCTTAATTAGCCTTTTGATATGCGCATGCCGATTACAATAATGAAATTCTTACAATATCATTTTGTACGAAATGCGTTGTAATTCACAGTCTAGTTGACACGAGCCCCACCTAAAGATACACATGTGTATATATGTATTTAATTTGCATTAACAATTCAACAATCCCACGCCAAATCAATTTAAAACAATTTTTTAATTGCGGCAATAAATCACATAAATATTTCAAATGACAAAACAGTGAAATAATTAAAATATGAAAATAAATCAGGAGCCTCGAATACAAATTAAATGAGAGCAAATCGAGAATTATGCATAATGAGTTGAAATTATGCATAAATTCGTATTAGCGAAATTTAAATTTATAATTGGGTCAACTGAAATTCATTTGAGAGGATTTACAGCTGCTTTAACTAAACTCCATTCAAACAAATATTTAAAAAGCCCGCGTTGTTATCGAACTGAGGCCATACTTCATTCTATTCTATAAATTATATGGGAATAGTAGATAGGAGATATGACAGTTCGACTTGTCAAAAGTATTCTGTTGGCCGTTCTGTAATCACCTGTGTGGCTTGCCAATTTGCTGGCGTAATTATTAAAGCCCATTAAGCCAAATAATTGCAAATTTTCATGCGAATAAATCAGGCTGCGTTTTGACAAACAGACAAATCTGTTTATACTCTACCCAGCGCGGGCTTCCCGTTGGTTTCTATTGATAGTAATCGTTTCTCTCTTCTAGCAATTATAAATGAATTAGAAATATTTATATTTATATTTATATCACTATTTAAATGGGCTTGCGTACTTCAATAATAAATTGCCGTAGGCCACTAACAACTTTTCAAATATTTTCATTTAGTATTTAAGTATCTGCTGCTTAATGAGTTTCCCACTGCGCCAAGCAATTTCCGCATTTCATTACGATTGTAATGATTGTATTGGAAGCAGAGCAAGCTCGGCTCTGACTTCAGCATTGAACTTGAAAATGCTGCAAATTGTTAATTGGCTC